TAAACCCCCAGTCAACGGTTTCAGCAGATCCTGCTGTGTTTCTTGAGGTCGCAAAACCTCAGAACATGAGACAGAATCTGTGGGAATATAGTGTTCCCCCGAGGAACTACCAAGCAAAACCGAAGGAAAGAACAAAGAATCCGTTGGAAAGTAGCGTCTTTCCTAGGCAAAACATAGGATTCCGTCCAAAATGTACGGAAAATAGTGTTTTCCCTTAAAACGCAGGAAAACATGCTGCTTTCCTGTGCTTTAGGCCAAGCACACAGCAACAAAAATACAAAAACACATAAAAAATATATTTCCAATTAATTTCTGGCCCTTTTTAGAGTTGCTGTCTATGGGGTTGTTGTTGTTTTCATTCTTTTGGTTTGGGTGGGGGGCTGTGTTGCTTCCTGGGGTCGTTGGGTTGTCTCAACGATCACTGGCGAACCCTAGAACCTAAAAGAAGTGAGCTGTCGAATTTGCCTTGTGTGGACTGCAGGACGACAGGTCCAGAGCTTAGCGAGGGTTCCGGGTGCCTGCAGATAGATGCCATTTGTTGTTGAGTGTGTCAATCTGCAATCTTGTTTGTTCCGGTACCGAAACATCTGGTGTCTTTTGCACATGCTCGTTTCTGCTCGCATGTACAGTTGCGCTTTTATATGAACTCTTTGTGCAGCAGGAGCGTACACCTGATAGCCGGGAACCAGGAACCGAAGTGCCAAGACTCAGGAGTCATCTGCTGGACAAGGATGAAACTAGGCCTGTTGCTTGGAAGTGCTTCGGCTTAGCGGTGCCGGGGATATGGACCAGAATCAGCTTGGAGTAGGGTGATGCTCCTAGATGCTGCATGGATGCCGGCAAAACTCCACTGCATGTTCTGATCGCTGGGTCATCGAACTTATATAGCAGCCCTTGCGACGCTCCAGTCGGCATTGCTGGGGCCGCCACCGCTGCACCCTGATAGCAACAGCGGTGATCCTCCTCGTGGCCTCGGCCAGGTTCTTAAAACGATTCGGGCGAATTGGTATTGGGATTAAGAGCTTCGGGGCTTGCACTGCGTTGAATGGTGAATTGTGCGGCGCTCTGTTCCGGCTAGTGCTTTCTGCGGCCTTTTGAAGGTTACCAGTTGCAAGGAACCATCTGCATGGCAGACGATGCGTAAGCATGTGAAGTTGCACTTCCTACTTGCATGACTCTCATTACCAGCAGTATCGATACTTGGTTGCTACTGGTGTTCCGACACTTGCGCCTCAGAAACACCCTAAGCCCTAAACCTAAACCCTAAACCCTAAACCTCAGAAACAGTACCTGCATGTCTCCTCCGCTGCCACCCAAGGCTGGTCTCGCCATGCACTCCATGGGGACGCGCACAGGGGTAACAAAGATAAGAGATGGGCCTGTAAGGCGGTCACGATTCTAGAAGGGTAGTACAACGGTAGTAGTATACGGGTGGATAAACGGAAGACAGAAAGAGAGTTCGGGGTAAAGGGTTCGACGGCTGGGGCTCAAGGTTTCAGGGCTTATACAAGAGGCAGAAGAGATTAGGGTGTAGAGTATGGCGACATGGCGTCGATGACAGCTTTGACAAAACTAAGTAACGTCAGAGAGAGACAGAGAGCGAGAGAGAGGGAGAGAGAGAGAGAGAGAGAGTGACGAGAATGGCCGTAGGCGTAATGGTTTGCCAACAAGCGTAATGGTTTGCCAACAGCGGCAACTCATGCTAAGTTCGTAACAGGCCAGTTGCAGCAGTAGCAGCAAGTAGCGACAGTAGTGGTTCATGGTTGACCGAGTCATCCCCATTACCGAAACCATAATTATGATTCACCATAGTAGCCAGGAGTGACGATATGCGCAGCTCTCAACATTACGACTGCTGCCAGCACGAGCAATGAAGAGAATGACTCTGGTAATGTTTATGGGAAGGTGGCTCAACCAATCAAAGTGGCAGAATGAGGCAGCCAGCATCCGTGCCGGGGTTAAGAACAGGCACTGTCATAATAAGCACAGTGCGAATGTGCCGAGTCAAGCCCTGTTAGGTGCTTCGTACTACATGCCACGACCGTCGAATTAGCTAGGCTCCCAAAGCCCTAAACCCGAAGCCCCAAACCAGACTTTTCTCCAGTTGCCTCCCCCAGTTCTACGAACTGCGAACATTGCAACCTCATCGGGCCAGTCCTTTTTATTACCCAGACCCAAATCCAAGTGTTGAACTTCCTGCTTCACTAGCTTATTCGAAACCCTCACGCCAAAAAAGCTCTAAACCTCCCTTGACAAAGCAACGCACTGCCCTGCATGCAGGAGTCGCGCTCACAGAGGGAAATCCTTGCTGCACTCCCAGCTTACAAAGGTGTACCGTATACCAGAGACGATGTGGCGACATTTTGGGCCGTGGTACTTCACTTAATTCTGAGAGTGATGGTGGTGTTCCGTGGCTGTCGTGCTTGTGCTGATAGTGGTGGCGATTGTGCTACTATTGACGCAGAGCATGCTCATTGTCACGAGTATGTGACTAGCTTTGATCGTTGCCCGTGTGCCTGTTGTAAGTTTCCAACATGAATATATTGCTTTTTGCTGGTTATGTAGACAGAGAAGGTAACCATGAGCTTCGCATTAAGGTTATTTTTACCATTTGCACTGATATGCCACCACAGACGATGCTACGGTTGATGATATGATTCCTGCGTTACCTTAAGTACCCTAAACTGTGGGAATTATGGTATAGTCCGTATTATGGGTAATGCAGGATTTATATCAACCGTAGCAGGACGAGCCGGAGTAGCTGCCCCATTCTCATCACCCTCATCGTTATTGCCTTCCTACCTCATTCCCGGCAGCCCACATCCGGGATGATCTTTTCTCGAGACGGCGCAAGTGGTCTAGATCCGAGTTCGTGTTTACGATATCACGGCAAATGCATGGAACATGCCGCATTGATTTCAGTTCTCAGCAATCGCTACAACTGAGGCGTTGTGTTCGTTGCTCGAGTCGTCCGGCTAGCGCAAACTAGAACAACATCGGTGGGTTGTGTATGTTACGCTGTACACATGGGTACATTTCGCACATCCGTGTATGTTACGTCAATACTACTCTCACACCTTTTGCCAAAAAACCGGTGTAATGGCATTGCATGACAAACCACTGCTGCCTTTATGCCCAGATCCGAGCACCTTGCTTGCAGGTAGCTTATAAACCCCCAACCCCAAACCCACGGCACCAGAGACCTCGTCAGGCATGTCCGAGTTGCGAGAGCGTACTTAGCTCAGGCTCCTCATAAACAAGCCGAAGTCCGACCAGCGGCAGTATCAGCTCGGCTCTCAGGTGACTTAGTGTTTCGGGTTCAAGATCTAGCGGATTTTTTTAATCTTCCGAAGCGATGGGCGCGCAAAGGCCTGAAACAAAGAAGGGATCCGCCTTCACGGTTGAGGGTTCAGGATGTACATCTGGCGTTTGCAGCGTCTGTTGAAGGTCCTGGAGAGGCCTGGGATTGGGGATGTGTCACAAACAAGGATCCCGGCCTCAAGCCCTAAACCCTAAACCTTATGCCTGTGCGAATGTGAGCGTCGAAACCTTAAACCCTAAACCTTAAACTTTAAACCCTAAACTCCAGACATCCCCGAGCCCGCTTCTGGGCTGGAGAAGCGTTTTGGCTGTGTCCCGGGGGGGGGAATTTGGGGGGAGGTCGAGGCCGTTTCGGAAGGGCATTCTCCCAGAGACTCAAGTGTCTCTTATTTAAGGAATATACCTTATAGGATCCCTGTTATGATTTAAGGTATATTCCTTAATTAAGGGATATTGGAGTCTCTGGGTTCGACGGTTGCACAAATCATTGTAGGTCCGGGCAAGGCACCCTCAACCCTCAAGCCTACTCAGGTAGGATTTCAGGACACATCTTTGTTTGCTATCACGAGAGGCATTGCAACCTAACTTCCGAACAACCTACATCAGAAATCATCAGAAAGGGAAATGCCAGATGGAGACGGCAAGGGCAGCTCTTCTGGTTACACGATCTGCTGGAAAGCAGAAGTAGTTGCAAAGCGCGACACCGCATCCCTTGTCGGATGCTCCTACGTTTTCAGGTACACCGAGCTCTCGAATGGCCTTCACGTGGTGAACATCCAGGACAGATGGGTGGCGGGTCGCAGCCGAACGGTGCCGCACAAGAGACTGCAGAGACGAAGAGGAATCGAAGTTATTGACGACTGTTGATTCTACAGAAGTGTCGTGGTGGTGGAGGTCGCAGCAAAACAGGCATTCGGAAAGCAATAATACTGAGTGAGCTCGATGTTCTCATTTGTCTTATTGGTGAGTTCGCCAAAAGCTCTAGAGGAAGCGCACTCTGGGAACGATGCCACGGTGTGCTAGCTGTATGTTCAGCAAAAGCTTCCCAGCCGTACCACTTGAGAGAAGCGTCCTGGCATACTTTAGGGGCCTTCATAATTTCCCATACTATTGTGGTGGCTTCTTGTTTAGTTATAGTATTCTGGGCACCACCAGAACCCCATTCTAACTATTAAGGCCCGTATACAGATCCCTTATACAACCCATAAAGGAACCCTTATAATGCCCTCTAAAAGGAACCCTATTCTAATTATCAAGGCCCCTACATCAAACCCTGCTCCCGAGCCGTCTCGTGGCCTACGGCTCAAGTCCTCAGAGAGGCTCAACTTCGCACGTGTGAAGCTGCATTGAGCTTGCAACCCCGCCTTTGCGGTTTAAGGTTTAGGGTACACACCACACACGCACACACACCCACTGCATGCTTCGCTTCTCCGCTCATTCGCACCCGAAAACCCTGAACCCCAAACCCAAGATCCTACACACCGTTGGAGCAACAAGCCGCGATGCAGTCAGTGTGGATTTGGGATCCGGTGGACGCCAACTCCCCTTTCCAACACCCGCAGGAGCCACCCGAGAACGATCAGGTGCTGGCGACGGAATGCTTCATGGCCGGAAAGACCGGGCCCCGCCTGAACAAGCTGTCCAAGGCTACTTTGCAAAGCCAGACGGCTTCTGTGGCCATGGTCACCCGTGAGGATGGCAGCAGCCACGAGGTGCCCCGAACCCGCGTGATCGCTTGGTATGAAGGTCTTCTTGTTTTGCAAGAGCTTGAGGCGAGAAGGGATGCCAGGATCACTTGGTTTGACGACCGCTTCCGCAAGCTCTTGACTCAGGAGCGCAAGAAGCGGAAGGTCAGCGGTATCCTCTACCTTGAAAAGAAGCTGTTGAACCTCTCTGTCACAGGTAAGCGGTTCGAGGATGCTGAAGGAATTTCCTTTGTTCATAGACGGCCGGGAGTGAAGGACGCGGACATTCCTGAAGACAAGGACGAGGATCCAACGCCTGACGGGTTCCGCATTGCGGACATCACTGGCTACATGCCCCCTTGGGAGGCCTGGTGCCACGAGCATGCTGGCTTCTACCAGGACTTCTACCGGGTGCACTGGCAGGATGATAAGGGCACGGCCTGGGCAGGAATGAACCTTTCAAAAGTGGAGAATGGTGCCGCCGAAGCAGGTTCGACTTGGGAGCCTGACGACTGCATACCGGCCAGCCTTGATGGCATGAGGCTGCGCGAAAAGACCAGATGGCTCAAGCGTAAGCATGAGCAGGAGCAGAAGGAGAAAGCCGAGAAGGACAAGGAAGAGGCTGAGCGAAGGCCAGAGCCGCCACCCGCAAAAATGGCTCGGTACAAGCGCGATGGCAGTCCGCTCCTCCGGGACATGTTCCGCCTGAAGAGGGGCCATGACTTCAATCCGCCGCAAGCAGGCAAAGATCCAGATGTCCGAAGTGGTTGGCCCAAGAGAGCCGAGGATAGGGCTCCAAAAAGGAAAGGATAGGGATATCCCATATGGGTGATTGTCAAAGGGAGGGTCCCTTTTTGGGTACCCTAAATATTAGGTGCCGTATTATAATAAGGACCCAAAAAGGAACCCTAATATTGACAACCACCCATATAAACCCCCTCATAATGAAGCCCCCTAAGAGGACTATCCGCCCGGCTACGGCTGCGCAGACCCACCGGGTCTTTGCAGGGCCAGCTGCGACTGCATGGATGATAATCGGAGCCAGAAGCCCTGGGAAACGACCAAGGACTGGGTTTTTGTTCAAGGGTTTAATGTAATGTGATGTAAGTTACCTTAATAGGGATCCTTATTCTGGTAGGTTGAACTACACCCCTTGTAACAAGAACCCAGAGGAGTGGCTCGAAGATCCGAAACGTGCGTCGGATGCTAAGAAGGCCATCGAAGCGCTGAGCGCGCAGCAGCGCTTCGTCAGGAGGAGGGGCACGACTTCGAACTTCCACTACTTTGAGACCGCCCAGACGCGCCAGGCGGACCAGACTCATACAAACGCAGCGATGTATCTGTGCAAGGTCTTGGAGGAGTCGGTCCGATCCGTGCTGAAGGATCTACCTATTCTTGCTCTCCAGGAGAACGGAGATTCTGTGCGAATACCAGCTGGTGCCCTTATGAAGCCGTCCGAGGATTATGTGCCAGTTCAGTTTCAGCTGTCGCAGACGTCCTCTGCTCGAAAATGGCTGTGCCTCGGCGAGGAGGATGGCAAGCTTTCCCTCATTGGGAGGGGGCCGCCAAGCAGGCCGGCGCCGTTCAGAGTGGAGTTCGTCCACCCGGAGGGGATGACTGCAGTCGTGGATTGCATGGTCACCGACGCCCAGGTGAAGTCTTGGCTGTCGGCCTCGTCAAGGATCGTGGCGCGGTTCACGGATGTCGCGCACTGTCCTTTGTCTCGCAAATCTCGCGGTGTTCTGCAGGAGCATCTTGGAAAGATCTTTGACTTCGGAACGAAAGTGGCGAAGGAAGTTTCCCTTGGCCGCTGGCTCGACGTCGTGGACATGCTTATCCGCATGCTCAGGACGACTGCAATGGCTCATGTGGTGAAGCCTGATTCTCCCTCCTCTCGGCCCCCACGAGCTTCAGCAGTCGCTCCAGCCCGATAAGAGGATTCGTTGCCCCCGCCCAGCTGAAAAAAGCGTCAGTCTCGACTCTTGCCGGCCGGGAAGAGCAGCTAAACTTGGCACAGGAGGACCTTTGGACTAAATTTACGGGCTTAAATAATTACCCCTTGTAGTATTGACCATATCAGAATTAGACGAAGCCCCATACCGCATTCTAATTGTTATTGCCCTTGTGTCAGTGCTGGGAATTCCTTACCAAACCCCTAAGACACAATCCTAAACCCTAAGCCCCAAACCTGAAACATGAGACAATCATGCAGATGGAAAAGGGGCGCCAAAAAACAACAATGGAACATTCCTCGGTCCCAGGTCCTAGGCCCTGCATCTCTCTTTCCACCCCTCTGGGAATAGGCAAACCGGCTCCCTTCATTGGCATAGGAGAGAGGCCTTTGCGAATTTTTAGTCACAACTAGCTATATCTACGACAAAACGCGTTGCTAAACTTATCATTTCCCAGCGCAGTTAATCGCAAACCCTAAACTCAGAACCCCTAGACCCTAAACCTGGATCACAGCACACTAGAGCCCGCTGCAAGCGGCTTTTCGCCCATGAACTTGCTCGGAACTTGCCTTGCGCTGAGTGCTCTAAACGCTAAACCCTAAACCCTAAACCACAAGGCAGTTGATGCTGTGTTTTGTATGGCCGTCAGGTGAGTACTCTAGATTACTGTGTTGCCGGCCAAGAACCTCGTCTGGATTGTCCGAGTTGCGAGAGCGTAAACCCTGAACCAAAACCGTAAATCCAAACCTTAAACCCTAACCCCCAAACCCTAACCCCCGCAGATAGAAAAGAGGCCATTAAAAAAAACCCTAACCCCCGAAACATCCCAGATCAAAGCGCATGAAAGCGCCGCGACGCAGGACGAGAACAGCCATCAGATGGCCATGGCCATGGCGCGGAGCCCTGAAACACCGGAAAAAATAGGCCATTTAATATAATATAAAATAATATACTATAATATATAATCTAAAATATTAAGAATACTATAGGATGAGGTAGTATAATATAATTACACAATATGATAGGACCCCTATGTGTGAGCCTTTTGGACTTTTGGGGCTTGGAGGGTTGTGCAAAGTGCTTCTGAGAACTCTGTCTCTCTGTCTATCTGTATACCTATCCGTCTATCTATCTATGTATCCAGCTTCACACACAGACAACATTCATGCATGCGCGCCTGCGAACATACACCACACACACAAACACAAGTACACGCACATACACACGTACACACGTGTGTATGTATGTATGTATGTATGTATGTATGCGTTTATCTATCTATTTTATATATACGCACATGTACAGAGAGGCGCAGAGGCAGCACACACATACTTTTACATAATGGATGTGTGCATGTATGCATGAAGACGTGTACGCACGTACGCACGCATGTTTGCCTGCATGTATGCATAGCGTTCACGTGTACGTGTGTATGCGTGCAAGCAGGCTCAGTACAAAGGCAACAGGGCCCGAGGGTAAACCCTTCGCAGACGCGATGGATGACACGGAAAGGTCCGGGGGCTGGCGCCAGTCCAGCTGGAACAATACCCAGGTCCTGAAGACACGGATGCACAGGTGCCTTACTAGCTACTGCTTTGGCGCCTTTCTGCTCTGTGTGGTCCTGGTCGACTTCGGGTGTATTTGCTATGATGTGGACTGTCGTGCCGTTGGAATAAATACCACATGGCCGGTACCGCTCATCCAAGATTTATGCATCCTGATCTACACTGCAGATCTCTGCGCGCTGGTGTTTGCCAAGGGTTGCACTGCCTTGATCGATTGGGGTCGGGCTTTTGATCTCTTGGCTGTACTCTGCTCTTGGGCAAACCTCGTCCTGACGACCAGTGGCTTACATCAGCCTGTCATGGCCTCTCTAAGTTGGCTGCGGGTATTCAGGATGTTCAGGTTAGCAGGACTGCTGGGAAGGAAGACGCCTGGCCTGCAGGGGCTGTATAAGCTCGTATCCATGATGTCGCGAGCCGCCAAGGAGCTATGTTGGTCTTTCCTCTTCTGCTTCGTTTTTATGACCATGTGGGCTGTGCTCTTTGTGGAGTTTGTCCATCCACTTGTTCAAGAATTGGCCGTAGCGGGATATTGGGATGGCCAGGAGAATAGGGCCGTCTCTTCCGTCATGAATGCCAATTTGCACTTGTTCAAGACAGCAGTGGTTGCAGATGCTTGGGCAGATTTGGCAGTTCCAATCATTGAAAGCTACCCCTCTGCCGCGGCCATTTTCATAGGCGCGCAGCTTTCCCTGGTCTTCGGGGTGCTGAACTGTATTGTAGCAGTGGTGATTGACGCTTTTGCTGAGACTCGCACCCACGATGTCCTTGTCATAGCCGAAGAAATGGAGAAGGACTTCGAGAAGGATACTAAGCTACTGCAAAGGCTCTTTTCGCGCATGGACAAGGGCGACAAAGGAAAGTTGACCATGGACGAGCTGCGGCGTGGCATTAAGGAGGACTCTGAGTTTCAAAGCCTCCTACAGGTGATGGACATGGATCAGGCTGACCTCGAGCAGCTTTTTGAGATGTTCGACGTCGATGGCTCTGGGTCGATCGATGCGGCGGAGTTTATGGGCCCGTTGCGGAACTGGGCACACGACTCCAAAGCGGTGCCACGTCTTCTGAAGGACAACTTGCTCAGGGCCTTGGAGCAGCAGGAGATGCTCTACGAGTGCACCTCACAGCAATTCGAGGCTTTGAGGGAGCAGATGAATGTCCTTACATCAGCCGTAGCTAAGGGTCCACACTCGGACTTACAAAATCAGGGCACCTTCGCTTCGACGCGGGCAACGCAAGGCACAGAATGGAGGGCCTCCGGGCAGAGGTTGGCGGACCGAGGGAAGATGCGCTGTAGCCCCCTTCAGTCCAGGTACTTCAGCAATGTTCCGAGGGGCCTCCAGTCACAGGGCGCGCCAAAGAGCATCGTCCTGGCAGAGGAACCCTTGGAGGTAGAGTTGCGGAATGCCGATCAGAGCGTCAGTCTCACTTTCTGAACGGCAAGAACAAACGTCCTGGCAGCAATGTCTGCGGTTGCTTAAGCCTGTAAGCAGGACGAACAACAGTAATGCCTTGTCCCAGAGTGAGTGTCAAAATGCCGTGATGAGAGTCATGATGTTGTTTGGACAGCGGCAAGAGCAGCACTTGTAACTTTAGCGGCCGGTGGAACGACGATGGTTTTTGCATTTAGTTGGCTCGGCGCTGCTACACATGTTGCCACGGACAAGCCGTGCCTGTATTGCTCGAGTCGCGAGAGTCCATGCATGTACGCTGGTACGTATGTACGCATGCAGGTCTGCAGGTGCGATAGCCATGTACGAGGCCTGCTGCAAAAAGGTAGGTAGGAACATACGTTTGTACAGTAATGCATGCAGACAGCTTGGAGCTTATGTCAACATGAATGGCTGCGCTAACAGGCCAGAGCTGCGATGACCATGTCGGTGCACGTGGTTGTCAAGAACATGGCCGGGGAGGATGTTGTGGGCCAGCTGCAGTTTGCAGATCCTCCGTCGGTGGACGAGCTGCGCAAGCGAGCTGCAGCCAGAGTTCCGGGCTCTCGCTTTCAGCTGCTTCGGGGTTCCTCTGTCTTGAAAGAGGATGAGACGGTCTCTGGTGGCACCGTGGAGCACCCGGTCCTTCTGACTCTGATTATCTTGCCTGCCGCTGGTGCAGATGGGGGAGCGGAGGTCCGTCCACTTGTCCTGGAGGAGGCCATTGACGAGCAAATGGATATCTTGGTGCATGACATGCGAACTGGCGAGAACTCGTTCCTGCCTGTTCGTTATTTTCTGGCTGCAGACGGAAAGGCACATTTGGGGGTCCTTGCACCAGAGGCTGCTCAGATGGTGGGTGCCGATCCACTAGCTTTTGCTTCCCTCGCCACAGTTTCTGCCGTCTTCCCCGGTGAAGAACAAACGCAGGCGGCGCTGCACGATTCGGTGGATCTGTGGGAGGTCACTGGTGGAGCTGCGGGCGATGGCATCCTGGTCAGAACTGGCTGGTCTTTGAGCTCCCCGGAGCTTTCACAAAGACTGGCCACAGGAGCCATTATTCAACAGAAAGACATCCGAGGGGAGCGCCTCCTCTATGCCAAGGCGAGCTGTGAAGCATCCAAACCTCTAAACCAAGCCTCGTTGATACTCCTTCCGCCTTTCAGTTGTGCATCCGAAAGTCCGCATCAAAGCCTAAGCTTCTCCCGAAGTTCCATGCTCCGTATCTTCAAAGCAACACAACAGCTCGGCCAAAGGCTGTTGGGTAAGAAACCCCGTCAAGCCACCATCCTGCCTTGCCCCAAAACCACGTGAGCTCTAAACCCGAAGCCCCTAAACCCCGAGCTCTGAACCGTTATGGAACTTCATTCCCGTATAGCAGCCTTATTCATCGCGTCTAGCTCCCCTATGGATCCATTCCCCCATTCCCTAACCCCTAAACCCTATAGATCCTTAAAGGATTCCGTAAAGAGACCCTAAATCCTCAAAGGGATCCCGTAAACCCTATACCCCAAAACTCCTGAAGCACCAAAACAGAATCCCTCATACTTACTAAACGCTACATCCTAAACCCCTAAAAGCCCCATTCAAAAACAAACCCTCCGGAGGTCTCCGGCTCCGGGCCCCAGGAGGGATGGGTCTCCCTGCGCTCGCGCGGGCGCGCGCTGCTGGCGAAGAGGGCGGCCAAAAAGGCTCCCGGGCCTGAATCGGAGTTTCCGAAGATCAGGGACTTTAAAGGAACTTTATAGTATCCTTTACGGGAGCCCTATTGTATCCTTTAAAGGGACTTTATAGCACTCTCTAAGGGAACTGTATGGTACACCCTTTAAAGGAAACTTTATAGTACCTTACTTTGGGGTCTTGAAAATAGGGATCCCGCTAGTCAGGGAACTGGATCAAAGTTCCCCCATTTTTCGGAGACCCCCCAAATGAAGCCCTAGTCCCGAAACCCAGGAGCCTTTGGGGGTTGCATTGAACATGCGGGCTCGAGGCTGAGGCGGAAGGAGCTGAGAGCCAAACCCTGAGAACGAAGGCCTCATTCGCTTGTAATATAGGGGCCTCAAAAAATACCAGTACTATTTTAGGGGTTCCTTATTATAGTTAGAGTATAATGGGCCCCCAAACCCCTGGTCGAATTATTAAGGCGCCCCCTATACTATGCCAAAGGAGCCACACCGAGCGGTGGTGAAACTCCTGCACCTCCACACGGCCTTAGCGACGGCCTCGGCCGACTGGAAGAGGAGGCACCCGGGAGCCCGAAACCCCGAAGCCTCCGGAACCCTGCAGGTTGAAGGAGTGCGAGGTTTAGGTTTGGGTTTTGGGGTTTCTTGAACCCGAAGCTCCGAACCCTAAACCTTAAACTCTCTATCGCAGATGCTGCTAGGAAACCCTTCGCCAGTTTGTGTGTAATGCAGGTTCCTGATGCACTCTCGCGGCTGGAAGCAGTCCGTCCTAGGATGCAGGTACGGTTGAGGGCAAAGGCTACCGCAGGGATTTGATACAACAGCAGCATGGCCTGGGATTCAGTACCCCTTTCAGGCAGATCATGTCCATTAGCCATCGCAGTCTGCAATGTTCGGGTTGAGTTCATGGTTCTTAAGTTTTGGGTCGTACAGAAGCCAACAGTGTAGTTCTGTGCTGCTGTTGTTGGGGCTTGGAGCAGATGCAGGTCATGTGTTGTGGCCTGAAGTGGTTGTTTTCCTGCGTGAGGGCTGCGAGTCATCAGATGTGACCTGTAGACTCACCAAGTCTCCCCGCGTCAGCAACGGAAGCAACCTGAATGACTAGTACTTTGGGGGTTCTTCATTATAATTATAGTATAATGGGCTCCAAAACCTTATTCTACTGTAATTATTAAGGCCCCTAAATTCGAACATTTCACATGAACCTGTCGCAAGGCACCCGGTGGTGGATCTCATCCAGGAGGTCTGCAGCCGCTTGGAGTATCTGGCCTTGACTGCCTTGCCCACCGATCCCAGAGCACAGGATAGGGCCCACAAAAACAGCACATAAGCAAAACCAAGGATAGGGATGTCCCATATAAACCCCCTTTAAAGGAGACCCAATAAAGTAGATCCCCATAAATTGCTTATGCCTATGTGCTTTTTGGGTCCCTAACAGGAGGCTTTCACCGAAGTTCGGGACCAGTTCTCCGGACTCTGGAACTCCGGCTAAGTCTCGGGCCTCTTCACTCTGACACACAAGGAACTGCAGCCCCTTCCCGCAGCATTGCTGGAGCATCCGAACCAAATGCAGGCTGCGCGAGGTGCCGTGACGATCCGAGCCCGTGACTGGGAGTCCCTGGACTTCTTTTTGTCCATGGGATCCACTGGGCCTACTGCTTCCACATGCTTCCACATTGCGTACATGGGGAAAGAGGCATCAAAAGAAAGCAGGTGCGGTGAGGTACGTGTTTTGTAGACCGTGCCCAGGTGCCGGAAGGCGATGCCAAGACGAGGGCTGGGACAGGACGCAGTCTTGAGGTCCTTGGCGTTGTGAGGAGGAGGGTATCGAGACGCATGTGCAGCGCAAAGCCGCAGGCATCCGCAGGCCGTCTCTTGGCACGGGCGTTGATGACAGCGACGAAGACCGAGCAGCGCGCCAAGCCAGAGCCCGCCGAGAGTGTGCCCGTGGCCACAGCGAGTGAGACATGTAAGGCCTGCCCACGAGATGCAGACATTCATTCAAAGCTTTTGCAGTGTTAGAACCCCTTCGATGTCGGCTATGCTTGCACTTTCTTTCCGACCACCGGCCCGAAAGCAGGGCCGCCAACCAGACCTTGAGCCGCGTGTGGCAGCCTGGGAGCTTTCAAGATGACGAGTCCTCATGAACATGTCCAGGAAAGATCTTGTGGTGCCAAAAAGCATCCATGTTCTTCTGTGTGGGTGAGAGGTCATTGAAGTGAAACCAAGGAGTTGTTTGATGATAGCAAGAGACTCACTGCCTGCGAAGGGCCAGACATGCTTGAGCGACTACCAAGCCTTGCCTAAGATGCTTCGTAACAGCAGGGCTCAGTTGCTCAGGCTGTTTCACACCGTGTGCTGCACTGCAGTCCTTGATGCATGTGACGAGAAAACCTGGCTGCGAAGCCTCTGGATTCCGTGCCGGGTATTCTATGATTGCGTAGCATCACTGCATATCATACACTTCGAACCTCAAATCCTGAACGGGGGCTCATGTATTTCGAAAGCCGTTTGTCCGCTGTGAGGCCGTGAAGGCAGGAAGCCACGACGACCCGCGTCAGCTGCCAGGTGGCCTCGTTTGCCTCGGGTTCTTGGAGGTTCATTGGTGCTTATAAGTGGGTTTTTTTTGTCTAGGGCAACCAGCAACCATACTTCTAGACTTATGGCCCATAGTAGGGGACTCATAACCCCACTTATACCTACCCATGAAGCTCCAAGTTGAGGAGTTCGAAAGGCTTTGGGGTTTGTAGAGGGTGTACATGGGGTGTAGGGCTCAAACAGGTTTACAAAGGGTGTGACAGAAGCAGGGTTGAGCTCTTCTTGAGATGACGGCTTTCTTGCATTTGAGCTTAAGCATGGGATGAATTCCAGCATTTGTTTGCCCTGTAGACACTGTAGAAATTGTAGCATGTGTTTTGTTTGGCACTCGCTCCCGTCCCGATATGACGGAGTAGTTTCTGTAGGAGAGACAGCCCTACATTTCCAAGTACGTACGGGGTATTTGCAACTGCACGTAGAGCTACCAGCGAAACTTCAAGTAAAGCCTAGCACGCCAAAAGCCACAAGCTGAACCCTGATACAAGCTCTTAACTTGAAAAACGAAGTCGTTTAGCCGCTGCCGTTTCAATTTGGGGGTCGAGAAGCCCGTGCAACACATCACCGAACCCGGAAAAGAGCCATAAAATCAGAGCCATCGCTGCAAAAAGGCGTCGTCAGTTTACTGCACCCTGTTCATCCTGCGAAGTAGCTTCCGCCTGCTCAGCCTGGAGCCTACACTTTGCACTACACCCGAAGTCCTCAAGCGCACCCCCCCAAACCGAAGTCGTATGAAGCCCGGAAGGACTAGCCCACTTTTGCGAGCACATGCTGTTCCTGGGCACGGAGAAGTATCCCGAGAACAGTGCCTGCTGGCAGCAGACCGCTACACCGAGCGTACTTGCCTGGTAGCCCTACGCCTTGTGGGCTGGATTGTTTTCGGATTCGCCGTGGTCCCCCCCCTTAATTTCTCAGCCGTCAATCTGCCTCGGGAGCTTGAAACCCACACCCTGGAAGTGGGCCGTCCGAGTGGTAACGCCGAGACCTTCTAGTCCAGGCAACATGCAACCGCACGCTTCCAGGCAGTAAGCTGACGTGGAGGGCACTTTTGTAGGTAGGTGCTGTTTCGAGAGTCGAAGGCTTGCAACCTTCAGCAGGAGAGAGAACGGTAAACGTCACATCCTAAACCCAGCCTTCAGCCTTAAATGCAAAACGTGCGCCCAGGGCTTCGATCAGTTCCTCATGAAGTGCCCGCCGGTAGGCGGGAGGTGTAAGACAGTGTATCAGCTCCAGCCATTTCCCCGTGTATTAACATTTGAAACACTTAGTTACCCTAAACCCTAATACCCTAAACCGTAGCCATTTTGGCTCAAGCGGTGATGTGCTTGTGGTGACAGTGCAACTTTGCTTGGAGATTTTCTGGATACTGATGGCGTTTCGCAGGAGCGGCACCCCTCGGAGGCTCCATGTCAGCGGTGGACCCAGAGCATCAGCCAGCGAGGCGTATAAGTACGACCCATCGGGGAGACACGGGGACCTGCCACCGGGATCGGTTAGAGTCTCCGTTCTCGGATTCCCACCTGACTGGTGCGACGGCACGGTGAAAACTACTGACAAGAAGAAGAAGGCCGAAGCCGCCGGCATGGCGATGCAAAAGGCATCCGGCTACATCGTGGCGGACGCCTTTTACACGGAGAAGTGGGAATACCTGGAAGGCTACAACACGGCGATCCCCCAGATTTACACTACCTTCTGCCCGGTGAAGGTGTCCGACAAGGATTTAACTTTGGCGGACATTAAGGAGGCTTTGGAAGGGAAAACCGTGGCGAATGGGGCGTTTCCCCTCAGAATCGAGGCGAGCCGGCTCTATGACAAGAAGACCACCCAGAGTGGAGGCGGTCGCGGCGTCACAGAGCCGTCTAGGTTCTCCTGGGGAAATAAGTACGCGGACAGCGCGGAGATCATCGATCCCTCGGGCGAAGACCCCTGGGAATTGGCGAAGAGGGACCCCGAAGTCATGGCGAACTATGTCATGTCTAGCGTTGCCACGGCGGGCATGAGAGATCATCTCCCGGATTGGTTTTTGACCAACCAGGTACCCACGGCGTCGGACTTAGAAGACATGGGGATCAGGGCGACATCCTTGGAGCCAGCCGCCAAGGTGTTCGCTTCCTGGGGAGACAACAGGTTCGCCGAGGTCAAGATGGGCAAGGCGACTGCCAAGTATGAGAGATTGCCCAGTGAAAGCTCCATGTGGGTGGAATACGACGTTGACGATGAAGTGATGTTGTTTGGTACCGAGGCCATGGTGGACGTGGGCATGGAGAGAGGCAAGCCGAAAGAGTTGAGCTTGTCCTTGGCGGTTTTGAAGCGTGGGAAGACAGTGAAATTGGGCATGATAGACACCTCCGTGGTGAGAACATCGTCGCAGTGAAGTGTTACGACGAGCTCCACGGAGAAGCACTGTTTCACCACTGATGGATTTGCATTCTGCCGGACTGCGTGCCTTAATGTACTGCTCTTGACCTTCTCCTTGCCTTTGCTTCCTGCTGATGATGCGATGAATTCGATGCGATGCCCTCACCGATGTACCACACTTCCCCAATTTCCCCCTATTAATCTTTCCATAACATGTCAACCTAGCCTTCGTGGCTTCTAGTATCCCCGCCTACCCTCCGCTAGGCAAACCACTAACCCACGACCCCCGCGGCACAGCTATGGCACCCTGGTTCCGGCAAGCTGTTTCGCCCTGGCAACACGCGCGCTGCTCTTCGGGTGACTGCTGGAAAGACTCAACACCAACCGCTACAGCTGTGGTTTTATGCTTCTGGCACTCTAGCTGGCTCGAGTTGAGTGAAGCTTGTCTGACTGTGCGAGCCAAGACCTCGTCTGGCAGTGTCCGAGTTGCGAGAGCGTCACCATTCTGCTTAGCCCTGGAAATATGCGCGCTGGTTTTCGGGTGGCTGCAGGAAAGACTCGACGCTAACTGCTCCGGATGTGGTTCGTGCTTCTGGCACTCTAGCTGGCTCGAGTGCTCTTCGTCTGACAGTGCGAACCACGACCTCGTCTGGCAGTGTCTGAGTTGCGAGAGTGTTAACATTGTCCCCGTCCTGCTGGCGAAACCTTCGCTGGCCTTGATCTTTCATGTGGACCCACACAGCCGCTTGGGTCGGATAGCTCTTCAACAAGACGGCCCTTCGCTCAGGTCTACAACCGGACAGCTCCACTTCAGTTCTGTCTATTTCGGAAACTGCGCGGAGAGTCGAGTCCATGTATCTGTCTGGGATAGGTGGTCTTCGTACCTTCGAGCCTGGCAAATAGACACAGCTGCAGTGATTTTTCCGTATGGCTTTCTCAACGTGCACGTGTACTGAACCGCCTTGAGCCGTCATAGTTTCTGTGTGCTCTGGTACTGAACCGCCTTGAGCCGTCGTAGTTCCTTTGTATTATAGTGCTGTTCTGTATCCCATATGTACCGATCTTAGGATTGCATGTCTCGGCTAAGCCGTAGATGGTACGATGAGATCAAGAAGATCTCTCTTTAGGAGGGGGTTGTCCTGCGTGGTACTACCTTCTGTTGCAGCTGTTTTCCGATGAGTTTCCCCCTCCGCATCGCAGTGTCCTCAATGTAGGATACGGGTTTTTGGCTTTGCTCATCTCCTGTACTCTATGGCTCTAACTTCTGTTGCCTTGTCTTCACTGAGGAGTTGAGTGAAGCTTTTAGTCTGACTGTGCGCACCAAGAACCTCGTCTGGCAGTGTCCGAGTTGCGAGAGCGTAATACCCTAAACTCCTAAACCCTAAACCCGAACCCCTAAAACCCTAAACTCCTAAACCACTGAGCTACGGGGCTCCTCGGGAGCATAGTCGGCTGAGAGGTCTGATCGGTTTCGGAACTCGTAGTAGGCTCAGTAGACTTCTGTACCTGCGGCCACTGCGAGGTACGGAGGCTCCTCGAATGCCTTCACAGCATCAGAGGTGCGGCCTAACAAGATGCCTATGGACCTGTACAATGTTCATATATGTTCATGAGAACCCGAATCACGAGTTGGGTTTCAGTTTCACCACGGAAGCTGTCCGAGTTACGAGAGTCGAAATAGATTGAATTACGCTGGTGAAGGTATTTAAGCTTCCGTTTTGGCTGCAGGACAAGAAGGCGTGTGGAATCGCAAGCCCTGGAAGTTAAACCGGAAACAAGGAATCGGAAGCCCAACACCTCGACACAACAGCTGATGCTTTCTTGAGGTCACCGTGTACTTCGCGGCCGCCTCCTCCGATGCCGCCAGCGAGGCCTGTGCGATAAGATCGTCAAGACTTAGATGATATTACTCCTCGGCGCGTTGTGATCTAGGATCCGGGCTCAGACAAAACCCTCTGCAAGCACAATAGACCCCAGGAGACTCTGCTATTACCCCGGCCGGTGCAGCATTTGACAGGGGTCGGAAGCACCTACGCTTGTGCTTGTGAGGGACTTGGCCCAGCTTTGTCATGTAGCAAAATTAAATGCCCTCAGGCCCTTTTAAGCTTCTTGCTGCAGTATGCGAGAGCTGCATCTGGGAGTTTCCGAACATTAGGAGTACCTTATTCTGGGGTGCGTATACGTATTAAGGGTCCTACTGTTTAGGGTCTTATATTACGGTCCTCCCTTTTCGGAAACCCCGATATAGGCTTGAGGGGAGCGCGGCGCTTGCAGGGGCTGGATCGGTTCGCCGACTTCTTTCGGGCCCCACTCTTCAAACAGGACGCATCCAGTGATGTGCAGCTTTCGATTCATCTCGGCGAAGGGTTTGTGTGTTTGCTGATTTTGCTTGGATCCAGTTGCAGACCTTGAACTTGAAGTGCTTGAGGGTTGGTTCCGTCGTTTGCTGCGATGTGCTTGCGGCGGGAAGCTGCACTGCAGCCTTTGCCTCAGCCAACTTGGGAGTATGATAAGAAGAAAAATCGTAACTGTTACTGTACCTTTTTGTTGTCCTTACCTCTATTGTTGTTATTACCCATGACTGCAACCCTTCAAACCACTCCATGCACCCCTAGACGAGAGGTGAAACCTTTAACAGCCTTCATTTTCGAATGTAATCCCAGACACCTTGAGCCGTGACCTCTTAAATACTGGAGCCCTGAAACCCTAAACCCCTGAACCCCTAAACCCCAAACCTTAAACCCCCAAACCCCAAACTCCTAAACCCTAAATCCTAAACCCTGAACCCATCTAAACCCTAAGCCTAACCAATCGCGGGCTTCCGCGCGATGGCCTGGCCGCAATGGTGGATCAGGCTCGAAGCCTCGCGGTAAAGAAGTGCCCCGGGTGGAGGCTAGTCACGTTGTGTTTGGTTGTATGTATATGTGCTTCATGTGTGTATAATATATATATATATACATATATATACATATATATATATATATATATATATATCTACATATGCATATATATATATATATATGTATATTCACGGTTGTACTCTGAGGTTCTAAGGTCTTAGGAGAGTGATGCGCGTCCTGCGGCCTAACCCCAAAAGCTGAAGCCGAGAAACCGCTGCAACACTGAGCTCCGGGCAGTTTCCCAGCTGGACGAAGCTCCACGACAATGGACCTGGAAGTAAGCCATAAACTATGGGAAAATCTCCTGCTGCAGCGTGATTCAGTGGATGACTTCATCTCGAGTTTCGGGGTTCTTTATGGCTTGGCATTCAGTCGCCCAGGCCGTGTTACATGCTTGGGGCGTAGAGTCTCCGGGAGTTAAACCGAAGCCTCAACGGCAACATCGATGCTGAAGCCTTTCCGAGGCTTTGAAAACAGACTAACTTAACTGATTCCGATCGCGCCGACGAGGGGCTGCAGAGTCCAATGAGAACGTTCTCAGCTTTGTTGCTAGAGTGTTTATAGGACTTGTAAGGTTGAGTCCATAGGGTTTGTTATAAGGGTTGCCACACGGGTACTGCTGGTCTGGCTAGAACTAAAACGTTTACTGTAAGGGTTGCCATGACAATCATAAGGGTAACTGCCATGCTGACTAGAACAGCTGCTACAGGGGTTTCCATGAGGCTACTGTAATGGTCGCTTGTTTTCTGCAGGCTCCCACGTTGCAGCGATATTTGCCGAAAGGCCGAGAACAATCCGGTATTTTAGCTGAAGGCATGCTAGAAGACCCAATAGGGTTAACCCACCCAGTTCCTGATCTCCTCGTGTGCGAGTGTTAAGACAACCCACCCGGTGCTCCGACTTCGTTGTTGAGGTGCCTCTCCGACATCGAGGTCGCAGAAGCTCAGCCTTGCATATGCTGGGTTCTGATTTCGGGCAGGCAGCAGATCTGGACGGCACACCCCCTAAATTCCAGTTCCAAAGCCTGCTTGTCGGGGCATCGAGAGAATGGGGAATATAGGGGCCTTACTAATTACCTATACTATTTTGGTGGTTCCTTATTATGATTATAGTATAAGGGGCCCCAAAACCCTATTCTAATTATTAAGGCCCCTGTAGTAGAGTGCAAGCCAGATCTTGGCATTTTCGACCGATGTCTAGCCGGCTGGGCTTCACACTCCAAACATGGGTTTGTAATCATAGTTTGGCTAACCTACAACAGACCAGGCCATATCGAAACCCTAAACCATAAACCGTGAGCCCCTGTGTACTTCGACGTCTTGTTGAAGCCTTTCGATGTCAATCTCAGTTTAAACTCCGCACTCTCGCCACCGCAACTCATCAAACCCATGCACCCCCCAAATGCCAGGATCGGGTTTGGGGTTTAAATGTCCATACTTCGCAGTCTTAAGCCCTAGACCCCAGTAGCATGAGCAGTGCAGACCGTGCACGCTGCTCTGTTGTCTGGGCGTTTCCGTCGTCGCGCTTGTTCTCTCGAGTCGTGTAGTTATAGGGAGTGTGACCTTTGGCTTCTGATCCAAGGTCTTGAGTGGTGCCAATATCCCCGAACTCGACCTCACTGACTCAACTTAGTCTTTGCTGCTGTGTGGAGTTGACGTGGAATGTGTCGTGCCGTGCTTGAATACGTGGGTGACCAGTCATCGACCCAGGAGTGGTGCGACACGAAGCGTGCGTGGGTGTTTTGGCCAGTTTGATTTGCCGTTGTTGTTTGAAGTGGAATGGCACATGCTGTGGGTGGGGATGAAGGTGAAAAACAAAAGTTCTGCAGCAACCGGCTTGTTTTCGCGACGCACGGGCCCGAGTTGGAGAAGCATTCCGAGTGTCACTGCACGTCGCCGTGCCAGACCGAGCCCGGGCTGCGTCAAGAACGCCCTGGATGGCAAACGCAGCCCCGGAAAGGCAGGAAAGCTACTTGAGACGCTATGATTCTTTTGGAGCTGAGCGACAGCAGTTCAAGAGTTGGGTGTTCCAGAACGATGTCGCACAAAGCCGCGCTCAGGGCACTTATGCAGGCATGGGTGGACGTTGCCTCTTCAAGTTTCACGAATGTCTTGTAAGCTCTGTCTGACGCCGCGATGATTCCGGCGCTGGTTCGGGCCGACGAGCATCCTAGTCGCGAGAGCTGGCACACGCTCTTGACCGGTGTTGCCGTGGTGGCTCGACTCCCGCCCTGAAGATGCAGCCCTTGTCCTCGAGTGCATTATCAGGCCGGCGCCTACCGATGGTGTGATAGACGCGATGGATGCCGCGAAAATGCTGTGCCAGTGCATTTGCAAGCGGTGCAGTTTTTTTGACCCGCTGGGAGACTTGCGCAGTTTTCTGCCATCGCGGACCACGACCTGACGACGGCCGCTACGTCATTCTGGCGCCGGATTCGTCCCAGAACAGTTCGTGGTTGCTCAAGGGCGCACATGTTGGTTCGGCCGAGGAGCTTGATGCCATGCCAGCCGGCTGCTCCATCAGTATGCTTAGTCCTCGCTGATCCAGTGCTGAAACTCTTGTCAAATGTGCAAGGGGCACACTGTGAGGAATGCGCCTGTCGCCCCTGTTGACTTGTTCGGCTTTGCTACATGTGCTGTTGTTCCCTGCTTTTCGAGCTATCTGATGCAGTCGACTTAGTCAGAAGCGGAGCCGGCGTGGGATGCGGAGGTCTGGGAACTCATGTTGCTGGAGCCCGCCTGGATTAAGTTCTTTGCATCTTGAATATCTAGTTTTGACAATAAGGACCCTGAGCCCGAAACTTCGCCGACCGTTAAAACCGTAACCCGTAACCCTCCGCTCAGGACTTCGTTGCGCTGGACTTGGAATTCTCGGGACTCTTTGTCGATCACCAGCGGGGCCCGCAGGTGCTGGAGGCGTGAAGGGATTCCGGGGTTGGGTTTGAGGCCATGAACGACCTTGGTAAAGCACAGCTTGTTCTAGATGCTTCGGCCGCTGGAAAGTGAGGCCTACTTTGCCCGATGCGTGGAAAGAAGCTCGACTGAAAGTTTTTGGAAACGATGGGGTGCAACCTCGAAACATCTTGCCCACCCACCTCCAACTTAGATATTGTGAGTAGTCTGATGCAGGTTTGTGAGTGCGATGTCAGTGTGAAGCCCGTAATCGCTCGAGCCGCAAGCTCTTCAACAGTTTTTATCGTATGTGGCGCATTTGGAATGCGAGTTGCCAATTCGTGACGCAGACGGCTACACTAGAGTCACTGGAGCCGACCCACGGTTCTCACATTCCAAAGCCCTCACACCTGCAAAGGCTCGCACGCACCTTCAAGACACCCCACCCGATACCACAAAACGCTTCTGCCTGCTTAGGTGTGCCCAAGTTTCTGGCCTTGCAGCTCGGGTTGTGCTGCGTCCAGTTTCAGAAAGAGAAACAGGTATGGGAGCTCCGCCGCTCGCCTCGGTTTTAGGATTCGGTCTGCTGTTTGAGGTGTTGAAGTTTGCTGTCTTAGGTTCGGCCGGTTGTAAGATATTGTAGGCGCAGACGATTCTTTTCCGGTCGGACACTTTGTTGTTTACGTTGTGGCATCAGATACGAAATGGAGAAGCAAACTGGCGCGAGCCTTCCGCTCAAGTCTTCAATCATGTATGTTTCAACGCCAGCAGTGGCGGACTTAGCTTGTGCAGGCAGACATGCCGACCTTCTGAAGCATGTGTGGTGTCGTTGCCCGGCCCCTGCTGTTTTTGTGGCCTGCTGTACGGCACCGATGGCCTGCCGAACTACAACTGCACTTGCGATCTTTGCAAAGCTCCTGCCCTCCATTGCCCCATCCCTTCTACATGCAACCCATTCATGAATTAAGCTATTGAGCCGACTGTTGAATTCAGTGGAGCCTCGGGATTTCAATAGATTTCAACCAACATCGTGAAACCCCGATGTCGCCAGACAAGCAAAGCCAGACCGAACCAATGGCCAAGCCGCGCGTAAGAAAACAGCATAAACAAAAAACAACCCTTTCCCCATAAACCCGAAGCCCTGACTCTCAACGAAACCCTAAACTTTCCTAAACCTGCTGTGCGACTCTGTCAGCAGGGCGGGTGCGAAAACTGTACACCCTCAACTAGATGTCGCCATGATGCGAGGAACTCATGAGTTTGACCTCTGGCCCCAAGATCGGCGGCTTTTTATGGTGGACTTGCAGTCGCTACAGTTTCTGCGCACCCATGGTTTTGTGCCTGGGCATAGCAGGGTGCGATAGCTTCTGACGAGTAGTTTATAGCGTTTTTCATAGTGTCGATCGTCGATCATGGAACAGCAGAAAACTTTAATGGTAACAATATTATACAAACCGAAATGTTAGGCCAAGGTATGTACTAAGTCTTTTCCAGGGCAATGCAAGGTAGTTCGGCAGCTGGCTGCAGTCAGCAACATGGCAGTTACAAAAGTGACATGCACGTCCCTCGTTATCTTGCCACCACATACATACATGTTTACAAACACACACAGAGATAACATGCATACATACATACATACGTAATCATACGTACATACACACATAGGTACATACCTACATACCTTCCGACGTACCTACATAGATAGAAAATTGCATGCCTGCATGCATACGTATATACATGCGTGCCTACCTACATGCGTACATGCAGGTAGGCAGACGGACGGAGATGTTGTGCTGCTTGCCGGCCAATGGCTCCCCAAGACAAGCCGGCAGACAGGAAGACAGACATTTACGTATGTGTATATGTATGTACCTATGTATGTATGCATGCATGTCTGTATATATGATATATATATATGTATATATGTATATATGTATATATGCACGTATGTATGTATGCAAGTATGTATGTACACATACGAGTTTTCATGCATGTATACAGCTACAGTAATGTACGTGTGTGCATGTGTGCATGACCGTCCGCGTGCAAGTGCATGAAATACTGCCTGGCCAGCTTATTAACGGTGGCAAAGAAGCCCGCTCCCTCCATCACGAGGACTTCAATGCCTTTCTGGAGCGTGCACACCCTTATTCCAGGCCCGGGGCTTGTGTTTTGGAACTCGAAGCTCGCTCATGTTCGTCTTGACTTGAGTTCTGACAGGCCCTCATGCAAAGCCCCGTATGGACGACATGACCATGCTGGTAACGACTTAGCAACTCATGATGTGTGGGGGCCAGAGCAGAAACAAGACCCTACGATGCAGTCGCTCATAGCTGCCGCCCTCAGAAAGCCGTCGCAGCCAAAGGGTCCTCGAGCCCCAAAACATCGAACACTCGAAGCCCAAGCCCAAATCCGAAAGCCCTGCCCCATACCGTAAAGCCGAGCCCTGAGCCGCATGTTTCCGACGTCTCCCTTCCTTTGCAGTCGTAGAGCATGAAGTCAGTGCTAGGGCTAGGATGCAGGTCGCGCAAGTATCTGGGCCCCCTTGTTGATTACGAGCTCATGGCCCATTGGGGTTGAATCGCGTTGCTGATTGGATTGGTGTTGCGCCTGTACCTTAGATTGCGAGTTACTTAACATCCTAATGACCTGGCACACTCGTAGTGAACATCACGGCTTTTTTCCCGGCGGTGTTTGTAAATCATGTAGTTTCTCTGCTCCGTCTGCTTAACGCTAAGTCTAGATCTGACTGCCTGAACCTGAGAAACTGAACCCACCGGAACGGACAGTCTGGTGAGATGCAGGCGCTATAGTGCAATGCTCCAAGAATAATACCTGCCACAACACATGCTGAACAGGCTTCCACCACCGGGCCACAAGCTGGCCGGTAATGCGCACGTGAAGGCTACGCCGGTTCTCCAGGCCTTGAGGGACGCCAAGGCGCCGAAGACTTGTCATAGCGATGTTGGCTTGGTGTCAAACGTTCAAAGGGTTTGGGTTTGGGGTTTGGGCTTACGTAAGGGTTTGGAGATTGCTTCACGTACTGTGCTGTGGTGAAGGCGCGATGCAAAGGGTTAGTCATAGTGTATAGGGTGTCGAGACCTTGGTGGTTTCTGAGACGGTTTGTGGTCTTCGATCCTAGTTTCTACGGACCTCGCTGGGTCCTCACTTGAAGAATCTTGAGAAGGTCAGCAGGTTTCTGCGTGCCACGGAGTGTAGGTGCACAGGGCTCGGAGGGAACCCCATGTCAAGCATGCAAGGATCAGCCAACTAATTGCAGAATGCAGATCGGTAACCCCCCTGTGCACAAGCCATGGCATGCGATCGCCTCCAACCCTAAAGCAGCTCCAACTGGTACCCAAAACAAGTTCACCCCTGCGACCAAGAAAAGTATACGGAGCAGTCCGTAAACCTGAAGCCTAAGTTCGTCGGGTTCAGCGAGGTGCCCGTGGTATTGCACAATGGCCTGCAGCTTGTCCGAAACGATCAGTACCTCTGAACCCTTGCTGCGCTGCAGTCGTCAAGGGCTTTGGGGGGTCAAAGCCTTAGCCTGTTTGAGGCTCTAGCACTTAGAGGCCCAGGGGACTTAGTAAGTAGGTTATAGGTAGAGGTATAAGTACCCTAAATGGAGTTACCCCAAGTATAACCCTACTTATAACCGACTTACTAAGTACCCCTGTTCCGGGTCGGATTTAGTTCGTGCTCGATTTGCAGAGCTCGGATCCTTTGCTGCACCCAACAGTGCACAGCAGGTTCCAGTTTTAGGGTTTGGGGTGCCCCGTTTAGGGTTCAGGACTCAGCGTCCGACTACTTGAGATCCAAAGATATCCAGGTCTCCCGCGTCTTTGCCCGCATCAGCCTGCAGAGTGGGCACCAAATTCTAACTTACGTTACATGTTCGTGTCAAGGAGAGCAAACCCTCAACAAGCCTGCGCGAAGCCCCTAAATCTGGAACCCTGAACCCTGAACCCCCCCAAAAAAGGAGCTCTAAAAAAAAACCACAAAACCCTAAACCCCCTAAAAGTGAGAAGCCCTAAACCCTAAGCCCTTAACCCTTATGAACCCTAAACCCTTAAACCCTAAACCCTAAACCAGAAAGCCCAGCGCCGAACTAGCCTGGACATGCTGCACCTCTATGACAAGTTCCTTGGCGACCTGCCTGGGGATCCCGGGTCCTTCGGCAAGGCACGAACTCACAAAGCTACAGGGTCTCTGGGGGGCTTAGCAGAAAGGGTTGGGCTTTGGGGTTTATAGGGTCAAAAGTCTTGGGGTTTAGGCTTTAGGGTTTTAGGGTCTTTTGGTTAGGGTTTTGGTTTAGTCTTGGGGTTTAAGGTTTGGGGTTTCAGGGAGACCTAGTTCAAAAAGGTGGAGGGCCGGCTGCGGGGGATGAGATGTAGGGGCAGCAACAACTCGAATGTACATTTTCCTTCTTGCATCCGTACCTTGTACCACACTGCACAAAACTCCTCCCCCCGACGGCAAACTCTGGTCTACTTGAGCCTTGTGTCTCCATGCAACGTCTGGCAGTATATGGTTCTTGGTATAGGGCTTTGTTCAAGAAATAGACAGAACCTGCATGCCGTTAATTGTAGGCTCCCGGTGAGTGATCATAAATAATCATAAAGAGGTCTTTCCGTGCGGAGGGAATTGTGCAAGTTGACCAGACAATCGGATTCAAGCTCTCTATCCGGCCCTACCCCCTAAACCCTCCAATAGAGAAGTGTTCCAAGTCGGAAGCACTAAACCTTGTACAAGCCCTAGCCTCGAACACTCGCTGTCTCCTGGTTCGCGCCGGTGTTTTTTCTTGGGATCTCGGCGGCCTTGTTCGTATTTCGTTTGCCTTTTGCATGATGGGCGGTGCCCTTGCTAGGGCTTAAGGAGAAAGGATGTGGATAGTGGAGAATGCTGATGGTGACGGCAACTTTGCCGATGGTGCGAACGTTGCTGAGCATGATCGCGGTCAGCATCAGCATCAGCGTCATCGTGATCATCGTGGTCCTCGCCATCATAACTATTGCGACTGCTATCGCCTCTGACTATCAACCCAACCCGCTAGTCGCAACACTCGCAGTGTCAATGATTCTTGGTTTTGTGCCAAAATCCTAAAACAAACCTGGTATGCACTACCCGCTACTGTGCGGAGCATATGAAGACAACGAAGGATCAAAAGCATAAGGTTCAACCTCAGAGGCAAGGCAAACGTGTAGAGGCGGGTCCCAACCTTGGCTGGGCTATGAGAAGATCATTTCCCTTGTGCGGCTCCCAAGTTATCAGCCTCTTTGTATGTAGACCCGGGCAACCTAAACTCCATACCCTGAAACCTGCGTCAAGGCCTGGGTGGAGCACTTCCCTCTGCTCTTCGACACCCGCGTGCTGGCACAGGATGGGCGGCTGGACGTGCTGCAGCATGCAGGGGGCTTGAGCCTCGAGACCTTGCAGAAGCACCCCTGCTGCAGTTTCGGCCAATGCAGCTGAATGGGGTTGCACGGGCCCTGCTTGTGTTGTTCCCGATGTTGGCAGTGATGGGGTGGGTGCTTAAGATGATGTTACTGCGAACAGTCATGACGATGCAAACATGATGCTGGCCATGACTGCGGTGATGATGGTGATCGGGGTGGTGCTGCTGATGAAGTTGGCGAGGATGGTGAGCAGAGCGCCTACGAATGAGAGTCAGGCTAGCAACATGATGAGGCGGTTGACGGTGCCAAAGAAGCAAGAAGATGAGTGGTTGGATTAACCACAAGTGATAACTGAGATGGACATTATGATGAAGCTAAACAGGCTTGAGTAGCGGTGTTAAGCAAAATCAAGGAGTTTTGCAACAGGCCTTACTACAGGGGCCTAAGTAATTACCAACACTATTTTGGGGGTTCCTTAGTATAATTATAGTATAGTGGGCCCCAAGACCATATTCTAATTATTAAGCGCCCTATATTCCACTCCTACGCCGCCGGGCGGTCGAACCTCCCGGCTGCTCTTCCTTTACACCGAACCGGGCCAACTTAAATCCCAAAGACACCTCACAGTTCGAACCCGCAAGGCACCTACAAAGCGAGCTGCACGGCCTGAACATAGCACCTCGGCTTCCTGCGAGTTCTGTGCTTCTTTGAAGAGGTTGAGTTTCGCGCTGTGGCTTGAGGGCTCGCGGAAGGTCCAGCATGCACACCATGATAAACCTGAAGCCGCGGACCACACGCCACGACAGCTTCGTGTTGTACCTGAGCCTGCAGGTAGGTAAGCTCACTGTGAGTAAGAGACAGAAACCCTCAACCATAAGCTGAGTGCCCGAGGAGCGGTGCACCACCATTGCCAAAGCGGCCCATTCCGCAGGCTACGATGCGACTGTCACGGCCGAGGTGCTTGACTGCGCACTTCTACTGTTTGCTCGACGATGCTACGGCTATTGCCTCTGCCACCAATACTCCTGCTTCGATTGCCGCCCTACTTTTCTGCTCGCCGCAGCCACGGTCATGAACACCTCATTGCCAATACAGCACTGCCAGCACCACCAGTACCACCAGCACCACCACCAGCACCAGCACCAGCACCAGCACCAGCACCAGCACCAGCACCAGCACCAGCACCAGCACCAGCACCAGCACCAGCACCAGCACCAGCACCAGCACCAGCACCAGCACCAGCACCAGCACCAGCACCAGCACCAGCACCAGCACCAGCACCAGCACCAGCACCAGCACCAGCACCAGCACCAGCACCAGCACCAGCACCAGCACCAGCACCAGCACCAGCACCAGCACCAGCAGCAGCACCAGCAGCAGCAGCACCAGCAGCACCAGCAGCAGCAGCAGCTCCTCCGTAATGATGACAAAGGCTACTACTCATCGTTGTCATCAGCATTTTCATTTAATCTTACTATCCTCAGCCTCTCTTCGCCATCCATCATTGTCAATGCCGGTTTCTCGCCTCTGTCATGTTGTCATGTTTTCATAATGACCTGACTTGTCTTTCCAACTAAGACAGTTCACAAGGCAGACTTCACAGCAGATGGCCTTTCCAGAAGATCCAAATCTGACTATCGATGTCGGCTCTGGGGCATCGTTGATGAGAAGAATGCCCTTCACAGATTCTCTCCAACACGGTGACCCACTCATTCCCGGCCCACTGCCATGTTGCACTTCTGGTTGCCATGCATCCAGCACTCGTCCACAATCTGTTTACATGAAGTCGCCGTGCGGAGAACGAGGTCACCTCTCCTAACAAAGGCATCTTTAAGAAAGTTCGACAGTTCTCTTCGACAGAAGCATGCTCGTGAATATCGTTTGGGCGTCTGCAGTTGGACAACATGCTTACACGAATCTTTGATGCAGGTTTTCTTGATGGAAATGGACCGCTGGATACGGCATGCCAATCAGAAGGCGGCGCCGGAGGAGGATGCCAAGGACGTGCACTTGCGCCTTGAAGGGTTGTATGGCATACCCTTACATAGACCCTAAGGGCCGTAAGCATTGTCACAACCACCCTTCGATGGTACCCCTAAGTTGCAAGGACCCTTTTGGGATCTTGCGTGCCGACGGCTTTGGAGAGGTTCATGCTTGCGTCTTGGGCCGAGTCGAGGGTACTGGGTTGTCCGAAGTTGGCAAAGTGCATCCTAACCCACCGTCGCAACCCTAGAGGTTCCGTGCCTGCGGTCTGGGTTTTACCTGAACCCGCAGCTGGTCAGCGACAGGAGCAGCACCCCAATGGGCGCAAGCGCAAGCGCTCGTCCGACGGTGTTGAAGGCCTTTCTTGCCCAAGCCTCTTATCTGAAGCAGCTTGTTGGAGCCACCCTGAATTTCGAACACAGAACCCAAAAACTCTAGACAGGACTTGGCATTTGCAATTTTTTTCCGAGCCCGTTCCTACAAGTGGTTACGCATTAAGGCACGGATTCTGAGTCTGTTTTGAAAAAGTTGAATGTTGAAAGTTCACAGCCGGGTTGCAGGGTTTGCTCCCGGGTCCTTCCTGAATGAACCTCATCTGGCTGAAAGCAAACCCTGCCTTCATCGTAAGGGATACAGGCTGACGAGTTTTCCGCGCTCTTTTCAGGGCCAGGGGATTTGAGGCTTAGGGTTTGAAATTTTGAAAGGGCAATCTATAGAGGAGTTTGTCTGATTGTGGTAGGGCTGTCGGGGCTCACCATCCAGGGTTTGCAGACATGTCCACAAGATCCAGAGGAGCTCTCACTTTCTCTTTGTTTCTCATGGCAGCTTCGTGCGTGGTGCCTTTCTCCGGAGTAAACATATATATTAGGGCCCACACAATGACCAACACTATTTCGGGGGCTTCACACTCTTGTATACTTGTCACCTTGTTTGGCGAGCCTTCAGCCATGCAAGAGGCAAAAATTTCGGGGGTTCATCATCATAGTTCTAATGTTTGTAGGGTAGACCCCCCAAACCCATTCTAATTACAAAGGCCCCCATATTAGAGTGTCGGATGCTGCATCAACGACTTGGTGGTTCATTGCCTTGGGATCGTAGCTCTCGAAACATGCCACTTTCTCTCCCCTCTAGCGTCCAGGCATGACATACTTAGAGCGGTTATAATAAGTAGGGTTATAATTGGGGTAACTCCATTCAGGGTACTTATAGCTCTACTTATAACCTCCTTACTAAGTCCCCGGAGCCTCTAAGTACATTTTCCGGAGCCACCCAGGCACTCAACCCGTAGCATGCACTTGAGAATTGGCTCTTGAACAGCGCGCGGTCCTTACCACATGTTCTTGCATTCAAACAACTTTTCCCCGAAATAGCGAAACCCCAACAACCCACACTGTGCCGGTCCTCTGGACGCTGGCCCGCCAAGGCCTGCTCGAAAGCCACGAGGTCTGCCGACGGTTCCACAACCGCGTGGCGCTGGTGAGCACCTCGCCAGGCTGCATGGAGCTAGTGCCCAAAGAGGCCGAGCCGGGTGAGCCTGAGCCGACCTCAGGATAGTAAAAGTCGCCTCGAAGTGCGAGGACTCCCCCTTTTGGATATCTTAGAAGTTGGGTTGTTTTGTAGCAAGCAAGCTTGTCTGTGAAGTCATGAACCTCGCGAATCGCGAGTTGGTGGCTTTGTGTTTTGTTATTCGGTACGGGGGTGAAGCTGCAACATACCCTGAGCTCTTAACCTCCCACTCTCAACCTCAGGCTAGCGGGGCGGCAACAAATCTTAACTGCCGTGGCTTACACCCTGAGCCCTATTCCCGCATTGGTCGATACCTACCGCGAACCGAGCACTTCCTTCCAGGAGTTTGTCAAGAAGGAGGTGCAAGCAATCAACAGCTGCGGCCTCGACTTAGGAATTTCTCAGTTTCGGACACCCTAGCCCTAGACCCTAAACCCTAAACCCAGCCCTAGACCCGGAGGAGCAGGTGGCCGTGTAGCAGGTTGCAATCCCTGTTGTGCCATCTTGCTCGTCGGTCAAACTCCATTCAGGGTACTTATGGCTTACTTAGGCCCTAGAGTACCCTAAACCCCAAACACTTACTAAGTCTTCTGGGCCTCTAAGTAGCTCTGACTCATATGACTGAAGGCGGAGCGACCTCAAAGCCCTCTGTTCTAGCCATAACAAGGCGACTTTTAACCCTAACTGCAAGGATCCTCAATGCAAGGACCCTTGCATAAAGATCCGGAAGAGGAGGCGCCTGCTAAAAAAACACTAGAAGACTCCAACTTACCAGCTAGAAATGACCCCTTACTAAACACACTGGAGGTCCCAATAATCACCTTTAGCTCCCCGCAAACCCCAACAACAGCCTAGTGCAAGGTGAGCACGAAAAGAATGTGCAGAGCAGCGGCCGAAGAATCTTTCAACTCCTCGAGTCTCAGGCCTCAGGGGTTTTCCTGACTTTTCTGGGGCTCTCGGTGTTGACAAGTTTCACAGAATTCAGAGGCATTTCCGAAGTACAGAGTTGTGTGTAGGTGTGTGTGTTTTGTGTGTGTGCGTCTGTGTCTGTGTGTGTGTGTGTGTGTGTGTGTGGGGTTGTTTGTTTTTGGCTGTGGTGTGTTCAGTGTTGGGACTTGTTCGCGTTTCGGTATTGTATAAAGCAGATTGTGCAGTGAGGGCTTTGGGGAGCCTCTGCAGTTTGGGGCTCTAGTTAACTTAACAGTGACCAAAATAACTACTTGTAGCAGGTGTCATGGTCTTGGTCCTGAGAGGCCTGCAAACAGTACAATCTGCTGTTTTGTCTGGATCCTGTCTTCATTTTCCATCTATGTGGTTCCTTATATCAGCACCATATCACACACACACACACAGACTGCCTCTCTCACTCTCGTGTTTTGTTCCCGTATCTTCCACGATTCTACTCTAGTCATCTACGTATTCAATTTAAGGTCATGGGCTTCGGGGTTGGAGCTCTGGGCCCGCTGTAGCTACCTTCCTGGGATTCCGGGGGTGGGCAGATGCTGGTTTCGGGCTTGCAGGGTGATTTCTCCAGGAGCTCCATCTAACTTTTCAAAATCATGACAGCATGTTACTTGCAACCGAGATCATGGTAGCTGACATGAAGCTCCGAACGTAGACCTCCCCCACATGGCAGGCAGATCCGGCATCTAGCGTGGGGCGCTTTGCCACAGGCAATGCTCGGCCCTGAGGATCGGGATATTGTCTGCAACTTTTGAAACTATAAATGGACCGCGGCACAGGCGAATCTGCACTGCTTCTTGGTTAAGTCCTAGAGGGCTCTACTGAAGGCTCTATGGATTCCCGTCGTGGGTCAGAAATTTGATCCTACCCCGGATGTTCGACACGACATTGACCTGAAGGATCAGCTAGGCCAAGCAGCCGTGAAGTATTCGAAGTCTCTTGTTTGCAGTGGACCAAGCATTGCAGCCGACGCGGTTCCAGATCCCTCCTGTAGAAGCCTCAAATCCAGTCCTAAAAATCGAAGGAAGATTGGAAAACAAGCACCTCGCTGCCCTAAGATGGAAACCCTCTACGACCTTCCCATGGGCTCGCGCCTTATCGCGAGAGAGCTGTGCTCGCATGTCATTGTTGCTGATGTGACAATGAACATTAAGCGCCAGATGCTGACCACTGTGCAACCTACATATGAAGTACTCAGGCCAAAGTCGATTAAGACCAACGCTGCATAGTCCGTAACGCTGGTAAATCCGGATTGTGAAGAAGACCGAAATGCGAATGCTGAGAATGCTGACAAGCTGTAAAGTGGCTTCATGCAGATGGGGCAGTTTACTTCGGCAACATGGCAGCCCGCTTTGCTTCATAACGTAGACGAGGCATGCTCGTGTGAGCGTTGAGTTGTGGAAGAGACGCAGAGCCCTGTGCTGAAAGCGTTCTCCTGGCTCGAAGGCAACGGAACTTCCCCAGTCGACGCCCTGAAGTGATGGACTCAGAATCCGGGCTCGTGCCACTCTTCCACCCAATCTGGACTGCAGCTTTCCGTCTGCCCCTTGAAGAACCCCGAGCACTTCAACCGTCAGCGGGCCCTTCAAAATGAAGAGAGCTTTCCTATCTCCGGGGTTTGTCCTGAAAGCCTTCTGTTCAGCTGGCGCCTTGATAACTCCGGACCCTGAATTCCAGGATCTACTTCAAGGAGAGGTATTGCCCTGAGCAGATGAAGCTGGTGCCCGGGTGCCCGGCCTTTTCCTCTATCTGGGGCTTAGGGGTTGTGAAGGGCGCAGGGCGTACGGCTTTGGGGGTTTGGGTGCATGTAAGACAAAGCTCGAAGACCATCATTCAACTTTGAAGTTATAGGAAACCCGAGAGTCCCACTGCCCTGCGGCCGCGGACCCGGAGGCCACGAAGACCCCCTGGGCCTGCACCCCCGGTGAATGCAGAATCTCCAAAATCCCGAAAGTCACAGTCGCTGGTATGTCTTAGCGGTTGGATGCGTGGTCATGCTTCTTCTTTACTCCATGTGACAGCCATGGGGCATTGAGAAGATCTTCTGTTCTGTTCCCTCCCTTTGCCAGTCTTCCTTCAGACCTGCCGAGACTTGTCGGTGTAAATGTCGAAATAAGCCTATAACCCCCAACCTCAACCCCTTTGTGATCTTGCAATGCAGGTTTTGTCCTTGCTAGGTAGGAAGGGAAAAACCCTTTTGTATCCTTTCACCCTGCATTGCATTAAGACCAAGCTATGCGGCAGGCAAAACACCCCGAAACTGACCTTAACCCCACCTAGGCTTTAGGGAAGAGGCTAGACTTGAAGTCCAGCAGCGTAAAAAAGGGGTTTAGGCCAAAGCAAAGCCCAGAAGCCCCCAAACCCCACAAATCGCTCTGACGACGGCTCCCTGCAGGACCTTCGGCCCCCAGCCTCTTTCCGAGCAGATGGCCATGCTCACACAGGCCCCCGTCCGCGGACGGGGACTGGCTGTGGCAAAGCTTGTGGTTTGGTGACTAAGTAGGGATTGGAATTTGTTCATAGCCCAGGTGTGAAAGGATTTGGAGTTTAGGGCTTATGATGTTGTGCTGCTGCAGTGCGAGACATGCTCGTTGCTTTGCTTCAGCACTGTCCCGCTCGTCAAGGGCGGTCGCACAAGATTCTCAGATAGGCAAGGTTTGGGGTTAGGGCCTAGTTTGGGGAAATGACGGACACCTGTAAGACCTTACTGTAGACCCCGAATAGCAGGATCCTCCCTTAAGGATCCGCTAAGTGTGGAATAGCAATGATTACAATCGCATGGACTTGAATTGAAGTTGCTTCAGAGTACTCGTCATAAGAACACAAGACGGTTGCACCGTCTACAGAAGAAGTCATGGTCAAGCTCTACATTCCCAAAATTCTGGTTACTTTGCCGGCGGGACCGGCGGGAAACCCTACACGAAGCTGTGAGCTTAGTAAAACTTGTGAAATTAAATCACAGCCGCGAAGCCGTAAACCTGAAGCCCAAACCGCAAGCCCCACACCTTAAGCTGCAAATTCTAAAGGCCAAACCCTAGAAGTAACATAGGTGTTTTTCACCAGTCTCAGCACCAACAACATCCATGTCGGCGAGAGAGCACCGAAATTATTGGAAGTGGGGGCAAGATGCGCAAATCCCAGACTCCTAGCCCGAACCTCCAAAAGCTACCGGCAGCTAAGGCCCTTAGGGTTCAGGGTTTTGGGTTCGGGCGTTAATGTACGAGTCCGAGTCGGGAAAACTGGGAATGAGGTTCCTTTCCAGTCCCGATATAATCATACAATATATGTTGTACACCAAACGAATTTTCATTATCAAAGCCGTTACAGTAGACCCTAAAACCCCAAACCTTTGCAAGAAACACTGATAAAACCCTTAAAGGACCCCGTTTGACTTGTGAAGGCCTGCAGATTATTTCCCCCCGTAGGCTGGCTTCGACACCCTGCCGAAGGGAGCACGGACCTCGTGCGGTGGCGTTTGGATTTGCGGGATTGGAGGGCTCCGGGGGTTTGCGCAGGGGTTTAAGTTTCGGGTTTTGGTGTGAAATCTGAAAACTGAAAACCCGACCAAGCTGCTGGACATACCGAGGAGAGAGAAACAGATGGAAGAAAACGAGAGGGAGGAAAGTAGGGCATTCGTCAGTGAGAACACGGCGTCCTTGAACATGGGATGGGCGGATTGGCCTTAAATCTTAGCCCGTAGCCTAATCACCAAATCATTTGCTTAGGGGCCTCAATTTTAGGATCCTTATTGCAATCCTTTTCAGATTGCGCGCGGCGGGGCTCACAACCTTCTCGAAGCCAGTCAAAGCCTCGCAGGTGGAGAAGTGCGCATCGTCGGATCGCAGTGAGAAGCTTGGGTGGAATGTTTGTCCACAGGAATTTGTGATCGCCGTTCGTCTGGCAAGTGCTGTGGAGATTGCATGGCTTCGGCGACTTTGCGTAACCCCAGACCTGAAACACCCCGGCAGCGAAACACTTCGACCCCCGACTGTAACTTTGTCTGCCAGCTCCCACGTCCTTGGAGGTGGCGGACAAATTTTTGCATTGCTTTGCGAACCTTTATTGACTTTCTAAATTGGCGGCTTGCGTGCCCTACCATGTCTCGGGTTGTCGTGCTTGCCACATTGACTGTTGTCGGCTGCAGCCGGGTGGCACGGTCATTATTCTTGTTATTATGAGTATTATTGTTATTATGATCTAATTGTTCCTAAACTTGTTATTATTCTAAATACAAGCCACTGCAGGCTTCGCGAGCCCAGTGCCATTTCCGCCTTCGCGGATGGGCACCCTCCTCAGAGTCTGTGTGCCAGAACTTGAGAATTGAGTGCCGGTAGTAGGGTTTGCTTTTTCATAAACGTGCCTTGGGCGAAAGAGCAACTAGAACCCCTTCTTTGGGGCTTTGGCACGACTAATATGGGGGCCTTAATGAGACACTTCATGATGGCACGGCAGAGAGAGAGAGAGAGAGAGAGAGAGAGAATAATTAGAATCGGGTTTTTGGGCCCATGTTACCGTATTCATAAGGCCCCTACAGTAGGAAGAACAACATCATTCATTGAGAGGCGGAGGCCTCGGGTCTTTGTTTCGTGGTGCTGGTGGTGTCGAGGCATGTTTGGGCCCAGACGACCGCACAAGCGTAAGGATCCCTGAAGTAAATGTTGTTGTAGAACCCCTGTTGTGGGATTCTCATGTTCCGAATACAGGATCCTTCTGATTATGTCTGTTTTTCTGGCTCCTGACACTTTGTATATGCCAAACGCATGGATGCTGATCAACACGCCGGTGTCAGCAGGAGGGATCCCGGGATCAACGATTTCGCCCGTACGTAGAGCGCTAGGAGCTCGTAGGGTGCTGTCCTTGCTGTCGCCGTTTGCCTCCTCTGCTTACTGCTTCAATGTCAAGGCCTCAGTCCGGATCCGAGAAAGAGCTTCAAGCTTGCCGGTGTCGGAGGTCGGCATGCGGTGTATATTGTTACATACATGCACACATGCACCAGCACGTACAAGGTTTCAAGAATGAGGCGCAAGCAATGTGTAACTTGCCGGCCCATGTTGAGGTGACAAGATGTACATCGAAAGGAGCAACACGAGGGCAGGAAGATGTGAAGCATAATGAAAGGCCAGAAGACGCGCAGTGGACGAAACAGAACATGAACATGAACATGCAGACTTGAAAAGCTGTCTAGTAGCCATCTTTCTCAAGCTACTTATCCCTATCATACCCTTGATGAGAACTCACCCTAAACCCTAAACCCCTAAACCCCAAAACTCCAAACCCCTAAGCCCCGTAGCCGAGGCAAAAGCCTGCTGGTCCAAGGCTCCGAGCTCCTGTGGGTACCGCAAGAGCAACCCTAGGGTTTAGGGTTTGAGGGTTTAGGGTTTAGGGTTTAGGGTTTAGGGCTGGGTTTGAGGTTTGTTGCGCGTCCGGGATTGAGTGTTTGGTGCATCGAACTTGGCCAAAAGGGGCCAATTTTTGGAATGCGGAAGCGGAAGGTTGATGAATATGAATATGGCGACTGTTGGGAGCAGTCTGATAACAGAGTTTGATTAGAGATAGTGTCATAGATTTTATGAGGTGCGACTCATATACACTTGCATCCTAAGGCCTTTTAAACTCGTAAGTTATGTTATGTTGCATCATGTTGACGTTCATGCTTATGCCCACAGCGTGGGCGCATGTAATATGCATGCGGGCAGGTAGGTAGGTCCACATGTCTGTCCTTGTGTTTTGGGATTTGGTGGGTGCAGGTAGGTGGTTCGTAGGTGAAGCTCACAGGTGTCTTTTTCTGTGGAGCCCTTTAAAAAACCCCAGGCTCAAGACCCGAAGCCCGATGCCTCAGACTCGAAGCCTAATCCTAGAGCTGACGGTCCACGCTGGAGCTGTTGCAGGGACCGAAGCAACGGGCTCCATTTGGGCGCACTTTCAGCTCCCGAGTTTGGTGAGGCTGGCAGCGCTATGGGTTTCGACGCGTTTTTGGGGTTCAGGGGCCATGGGGTTGCGCAGCTATGACTTGTGATTGTTGCCAGTCTGTTGTTCTGGAAGGTTGTCTTGTTGGTATCACTTGCGATAGTATAGCGATGGTGTGACAGATGCTGAGAAGACTCTCAATTATTTTTCTTTGATTTTGTAATCTTCGTGGCTCTCCCGTGTTTGTCGTGCTATCCTGCTTGCTGGCCGTCTTCGTTGTCGTCGTGCTGACCACTATTAGGACGACGGCGACGACGAGGCCACTATCGACTGCAGCCACAACTACATGTACGACGACGACTGCTGGTCAAAGAAGAGAAGTAGTAGGAGTAGTAGAAAGTAGTAGTCGTCGTCGTGGTGGTAGTAGGAGTCGTAGTAGTAGCAGCAGCAGCAGTAGTAGTCGTAGTATTCATCCTCGTCGTTGTCGTCGTCCTAGTCGTGGTCGTCGTCGTAGTCGTAGTCCTAGTCGTAGTCGTAGTCGTAGTAGTAGTAGCAGTAGTCGTAGTAGTCGTAGTAGTCGTAGTCGTAGTCGTAGTCGTAGTCGTAGTAGTAGTAGTAGTAGTAGCAGCAGTAGTAGTAGTATAGGAATAGGAGGAGTAGTAGCAGTAGTAGTAGTAGCAGCAGTAGCAGTAGCAGTAGCAGTAGCAGTAGCAGTAGCAGTAGCAGTAGCAGTAGCAGTAGCAGTAGCAGTAGCAGTAGCAGTAGCAGTAGCAGTAGCAGTAGCAGTAGCAGTAGCAGCAGCAGTAGTGGCAGTAGTAGGAGGAGGAGGAGGATAGTAGTAGTCGTCGTCGTAGTAGTAGTAGTAGTCGTCGTCGTAGTCATAGTCATAGTCATAGTCATAGTCGCAGTCGTAGTCGTAGTCGTAGTCGTCGTCGTAGTATTAATGGTAGTAGTAGTAGTAGTAGTAGCAGCATTAGCGATAGCGGTAGCAGTAGCAGGAGCAAGAGTGTCAGTCCTGTTTGTTACATGCATCAGATCCACGATTGCTGCTGCGACCACTACGAGCACTACGACCGCTAAGACCACCATGACCGCCACGACCACCACGACCACCACGACCACGACGACCGCGACCGACCGCCACCACCACCACCACCACCACGACCACCACCATCACCACGATCACTACGACCAGCACCACCACCACGACCACCACCACCACCACCACCACCACCACCACCACCACCACCACCACCACCACCACCACCACCACCACCACCACCACCACCCCCACCACCACCACCACCACCACCACCACCACCACCACCACCACCACCACCACCACCACCACCACCACCACCACCACCACCACCACCACCACCACCACCACCACCACCACTACTGCCACGATGACTACTACCAGTTACTACCACCTCCCCCACTCCTTCTACTCGAGGGGCTGGGAGTAGGAGCTGAGTAGCAGTAGCAGCCACAAGCAGTGATTATTTTGGGCTTTGGGCTTCCTCGTTTTGTGTGAAACCTGACGCCCGAAAATGGATGCCTAGAGCCCGGCAGCCCTGTGACTGTAGTAAGGAACCTGGTAACCTGGTAGCCCTAAATCCAGGGAGCATCGTGCTCAACCGCTGACCTACTTGCATTACCTGATCAACTATGGAGGTGCTTCCCTTGGGCGCTGGGGGTAGGGCCCAGGGGCAAAGCTTTCTGAGTTGGCTGTGGCGTGACGGACTTAAGGCCATAAATTGGTGCCCAGGGGTTTCATCATAAGCTGACCAGTGGTGACATCGCAGAAAGTCGAAAGTCATCGTCACAGCGCATCAAGTTTCAGCATTCCTTGGCACACCTAAACGGTAAAGCAGAATCCGAGTTGCGAGTGGTCAACAAACCCCTCACATGAAATCCGGAAGTTGTAGGACTGCAGGCTGTGTAAGCCAGGAGCTTCTCTTGGGGCCCCCTTTGGGCCCCTCCCCTCTCCAGCCAAAGGCTCCTATCTTTTACCCGACGCCCGTTTCGAAGGCTTAGCCCTAGGCACAGAGTCTGAAAACTGCGGGACGCCATAGCCGCGAGAGGCAGAGCACGAGGAATGGAGCACGATGACCCTCCGAAACCGGGGCCGGATGACGCTGTTCTTCGGGCATTGTCGCAGCTTCAGGAAGACGGGGACCTCGAAAAGTTCCTGGAAGTGAAGGTAGACCTGAGCCAGCAAATACAAATCGCTCCCTACCGGAGCAAGACTCCCTTTGAAGCTCTGTTGGAAGGCCTGACGAAATCCAAGCGCTTGTGCTCTCCTTCCGGCATGGCTGCGGTCAAGAGGGCCGTGTCCGAGTTCGGGGCTCCCTGGACGGTTCAAACCTTCGGGCAGCTGCTGTGCGACCTCATCGAGCTCCGCGCCGTGGCCCAGGGTCGCGAGCTGGTGGACTTCGCCATCGCCACCGGGGCGCGCTGGGGCCAAGACGGTCATGTGGTCTTTCGTGGCGACTTCGCCTTCGAGCTCATGGTGCCTCGCCTCCTTGATGCCGACCTTCTGGACGAGCCAGCTTCCATGGAACTTCTGGAAAGGTCTCTGACAGAGTGTGAGCAGCAGAATGTCATGGGAGTCTTGTTGGAGGGTGGTGGGACAGTCTTCTCAGAGCTGGTGTATGGTGCAGTCTCCTACGGAATCTTGGGAACCCCGAAGGGGGATGCGCTTATCAATCTCGCCCTGGAGCATGGCGCCGACTGGGCCTGCCTGGATGGGTGGAATGGCACACCGTTCGAGGAGATCCTCCGCTTGGCTTTAAAGAGCAACCCGAGGCAAAAGACCACCATCTCGCCGGAGGCTGCACTTGCCTACACCCGCAAAGTACTGCAGAACCATGCGAAACCCGGTCTCCTCTGGAACGGTTCGAAGAATCGGACGGAGCACGGCCATCAGGAGTCCCATGGAGCCTTCAGCCTCCTGCTCCGCACTTTGGTCCAGGAGAAGCGAGTCGGGCAGCCGATCTCCCGCGAATTCTTGCGGCTGGCAGAAGAGACCGGAGCTCGGTGGGATGCCATCCACTGGAAACTCCAACAAGCCCAGCATAGGCAATTTGCGTTTTTTGAAACTTCTTCTGTAGTAAGAATAAGAGAAGCATGTTTGCTCCGTTTGCTACAGCTGAAGAGCAGAGGAATTTTACCTCTGCGTGTGGAATCTACCAGCTCGGCTGTCTCACTACTTTCCACTTGTTTGTCCAGGACCTTGCGCTGTCGGGTGCCTTAGAACACCCCGACGGGGTCGACATGGTGGCCCGCGCTCTGGAGAATGGAGCCGACTATCGGATCGATGATAAGAAACCCCCCGGCCCGAAGCGCATTGCAGTGGATATTCCAGGATTGGTCTGGGGCTGCCGGAGGGAGACCGTGCGCCTGCTGGCGCTGCTTTCCTCCGGGAGGGCCTTCCCCTGTGAGCCGCCAGGTCAGGAAGGAGATCTGGTGTCTTCCTTAGTTGCACTGGCTCAGTTCGTGAAGGCGGCTCAGCACACCTCTGCTCTTCAGGTTCGGCATCCCATCGTGAGGTCGATACTGGGCTTTCTGCCTCGTGTTCCGCAAGTGCTGGGGTACGAGTTCACGGACTGGCGCAAGGTGGCGCATCATCCGCAACCTCTCCGTGGATTGTCTGATTCGTCATGACGATGAGCATTGTTGTGCTGCTGCCCGCCCTATTTCGGCCATGACGACTACACCTTAAAACGACAACGACGGCTAATGACTACTCCTTCCCCCATCTTCCCCCTAAACACGACGACTGCCGCTACTCCTGCTGCAGCTTCTGGTTCTGTTGCTACATAAAAGTACCACGCATCCTAGGTACTACGTACTGCCTGCCACCCGACATCTGCCATTTTGGCATGTAGCCCGAAGCCCTAAACCCGACTCCTGACACACAAGCCCGAAGCCCTATGACCTAAATCCCAACATCCAAACCTCAAGCACCCTAAATTCCTAAATCGAAGGCCCGAAGTTCGGGGCAAGGTGCCCAGCAGGCAGAAGACGTTACTGTTAGTGCACGAGCCGTTGTTGTCAGTAGGATCTTAAGGATCAGCATCGATTTTCAACACAAGTGTCGTTGTCACCTCAAACAGGTGAAAGCGATACTGCTGTTGAGAAGGTGGTGATGATGGCTGGGGGCACACCAATAGCCGCTAAGACAGGTAGGCTCAGGCTAGAGAAAGACGTCTCGTCAAGTAGTGTTCGATGACAAGCCTTTCATGAAATCGCCCGACGTCTGAAGCCTAGGCCCTTAGTCTCAAAACGCACGCGAGGGCAAGCAACACCCTAGAATCCTGAGCTTGAGAGCCGAACACCTGAAAGACACTTTGCCGCCAAAAACCCTAAACAAAATCCTCACAGTCACTCAACTCCTGAGGTCCGAAACCCCAAAAGCCCTAATTACCGCCCTTCTCCTGCATCCCAGTATCGTGTACAGACCTCGCCTGATCTTGCCGAGAAAAATCACCGACTGGAGAGCCGCCTCTGGCAGAGTCCGAGTTTGAGAGGACCTTAGCAATTAGAACAGGGTTCCCTTTGAAGGGGTATAGGGATCGGTATGTGTACTTTTATGTAGAGGCCCTAGTAATATTTTGGATAGGGCTTTGGGTTTAGGGTGCTACAGTTATGATAAGGAGCCCCCAACATTGGTATAGGTAATGAGTTAGGTACGGCCCCCATACAGCAAGAGTCTATAATAGGGCTACTATTAAGGTCCTACTAGCAAGTAGACTTATAAGTACCCTAAAAGGGACCCTCATTGGGGTTATGGTACTTATAGGTCCCCAAAATAACCAGTTACTAAGTCCCCAGACCCTCCAAGTAAGTAATGAGCGTCAACCTTGAGGCCCTAAGCCCCATCCCTTTTACCCCGCAACGCCCGAAGATACCTTCAGGATCCCCAAACCCTGAACCCCTAAAAAAAAAACAAAAAAAAAAAAACCATCAACCCTCAACCCTAGAGTGCTAAGTTTAAGCTCGATACCCTGAAAAGTGCTAGAACAGCCTTAAACACCTCAGCATCCTCAAGCCCCACACCCTCTCACAAAAAGCTTTTAGAAGCCCCGGAAACGCACTGAACAGCCGCTAAATGTAATGTGAACCCTAAACCCTAAGACCCCGAGACCCTTAAGGAATATTCCTTAAATCATAATATCAGGGATCCTACTATAAACTAAGGTATATTCCTTAATTAAGGGATATTGGAGTCTCTGGGGACCCCTAATGCCACAGCCGAAGGCGAGCGATCACTCTCCCGGGTCCTCTCCGACGACCTGGGACTGGTGGCGAGCGTTGGCGTGGAGGCGGTTGACTTGGGTGATTTTCGACGTAGCTGTGGATTCTTGTTCGGCGTTGTGTTTCTCATCGTTTTTTTCTGTTTTGAGGGAGTCCTAGGCGGTTTATTACCCTCGGGTCTTTTTGCGGTTCGGCTTATAGGGTTTGTTTCGCGGAGGTGCTGAGGGCCTAGGGCTTGCGTTCAGGTCCTTCAAGGCTTCCTCAAGAGGTCTTAGGATTTTGTTGTAATCGCATGTTGGGGATCCTACTGTAATTTAGGAAGGAAATTTAAGGTATATCCCTTATACTTCCCTTCTAGAACCCCGATAGAAGGTATGCGGAATGACATCAATGAGAATGCGGTGAATGCAGAAGCATCACTCAGCCAGCGATGATCTCATGGCAGCTCCGCCTTCCTTCGTTAACAGAAACTGCTTAGCAAGAACCTGCATCCATCATAAGCACGAAGTAGCAGTAGTAATGACATTCACCAAAAATTTTCTTCATAGCAGCGTCCAGGCGAGTATCTGTGACATCTGTTACTACTTTTGACAGTTGGCAGTCTGTGAACCAGCATCATTGATAGTGGAATTCGAAAGAAGACTTAGAATCAGACAGCATAGGAAGACTTCTCTCATCGTAAACCTAAAAAATAATCCATACAAATATAGCTTCCCGTCCGAGGACTAGGGGGCTGACAGTTTCATGCTAGAGCTACCCAAAGACTCCAATATCCCTTAATTGAGGGAGCATACCTTAAACCACATCGGGGATGCTACTATAATATCAGGATATTTAAGGTACATCCCTTATACATCCCTTATAGAGTCCTTGTAGATCCCTTTAAACGAACCCTTTAAGGAACCCTAAGGTATACTCCTTAATTAAGGGACATTGGAGTCCCTGGGAAAGAAAGAGACCGAGCTGCTCGGACCAGGAGCAGACGGATTCTACTGGGACCATGTGCTTGGTGGCCGCGTGGTATGGAATGCAAGTCACTGGGTTCCTGTTAAGGAAGTTAGTTGTAAGGCACCATAATAAGGAAGTTTGTTTAAGTTACCATAGTAAGGAAATTAATTTTGAGTTACAAGAAACAGGAAACCATATTATTTACTATAAAACCCTATGATGGTAACTTAAGTTAAATCCCTTAACAAGAACCCAGAGTCAGCACTCTTTCCAGGGCTGGGCTTTTTGGCCGTAGGGTTCAAGGCTTCAGGCACCTACTAATATGTAAAACATCTATATTCATATATAACATAACAAATAAGAGAACCTATAACAGTAGAGTCTTAGGAGTGTTTTGATCGTTGAAGGGACCTATCCTAAACAGGGTTCAGGCATACTGGAAGAGTTCGCCAGTCCTTGACTTGCAACTTTCGATCCCCATCCCACAGAATCCTTTACTTACCTTTGGTTAGTAGGGAATGGAGGAATGGGGTACAATTATAACTACTATTACTACCATTCTTCCATTCCCTACTAACAAAAGGTAAGTTTATCAAAGTCCGACGCCAACCTCGCCTGATCTGTTCGAGCGCGAGTGCCAAGAGCCTTGGAGGTCCTGGAGCCGACACTAAAAGCCTCGAATCCTCAAGGCCTCAACTAGGTAGGGCTTTGGGGCATTTTATATTTTCCCTTATTGGGCTTAAGAGGATCTTATCTACTAATATTTTTCAAAGGCTTCAAAAGCACCACCTAGTCAAGTGCTCCACTCCGTCTCATTTTCATGCCGTCTTCTTACAAGACGCGTGAATCTTACCCCTAAACCCTGAACTCCTAAACCACGACTTGAGAACCTCGCCAAGGCTTGTCCGAGTGTGAGTGCTGAAACCCTTAATTCACCCTAAACACCTGAACCCTAAACCGTGTAGCTCGTGCCAGGTGTTCTACACCACGCCTTTGGGCTTCAACAAATCCGAGGTGCTTCAGGGCGTTTTTGGCAAAGAAGGTTTCGCTTGGGGCATGTTGGGGCTCTGGTTTTGAGATTGCTTTGTTTTTTTTGGTTCATGAGCGCGAGTTACATCCCCACACCGAGCCTAGCCCCGCATAGAGTTGCAAGAACTCTCGAATATCAGTAGGCCCGGCGTTTCATGTTTAGAAGCCTTTTCTTTAGAGAGGAGAGTTTCAGTCCTGGTGTTAGCCTTTCGAAGAACAGGTTTCCATTAATTATTGTGAGCCACTCCCGGGTCGGAGCAGACCCGATGTGGCCTTACTACAGGGGCTTAAATAATTGCTAACACTGTTTTTGGGGTTCCTTATGATAAGTATAGTGTTATCGGCACCAAAACCCTATTCTAATTATTAAGGCCGCTACTTTAGCAGGCCATCCTGGATGTCTTCTTCGCCTACCTCGGTGCCCTGAGGGCACAAGGTGTGGACATGGACCTCTACAAGAGCCTCCAGGTCGGCTGCAGAGTCTGCGCAAAACCGAAAAACCCCGTAGGGTCCAATATCATCCTCCCAGCACTATTACTACTGTTACTACTATTATCAACATTTTTACCAGTATATTACCATTATAGTACTATTGTAGTACTGTTACATCACACTATTGCTTTCAAACTGTATTTCTGTCGGGAAACACAGCCCGACAAGATCTGAAGTTTAAATCGTCGTCCCTAAGTTCAATAAAACACAAAAACTACGACCACCCTGAAGCCTAAACCCCGAACGCTCCAAGCCCGATAAGCCCTTGAAAGCGCTAGGAAACCCGACAAGCCCGCTATCCGATAAGCGCTGTAAGCCCGATAAGCACTCGCCCTAAATCCTACCAGTAGCGTAAGACCCGACGTCTCGTCGCAGGACATGGTGAAGCTGCAGTGGAACTGGAAGCAAGAAGCGGATCCGTACGGGACGCGCTTACTGGGGCTTGTGGGGTTCTGAAGCCTAGGCGCCTCGATCCCTGGACCCCAAGAGTTGACGCCCGAAACCTGCAACCCTAAAAGCCTAAACCCTGAACCCGTCGCCGGACCCTGATATAGTACTCTAAGTAGTAGGATCCTTATTATAAGGACCCCAAAATGAGGTACCCCCAATTTTCGGAAACTGCCTGGATTGCTGTAGCAGCTTGTTGCGGATTGTTCGGAGCCTTGCCTGCCTTGTGCGAGTGTGAGCGCCGCGTCCCGACTTGAAACCTGAAGGTCGAAGCCCGAAAACCTTCAGCCCTAAACTCCAAAAGCCTGGATCGTCCGACTGCTGCTTCATAAACTCCAGAAGCCTTAAACACGTAAGCCGTAATCCCTTAAAGCACCAGATTCCACAAAAACCCTCCAACAGCAGCCCCGACACCCCCCCAAACTCTGAAGCTAGCAGGACAGTGTCGGACCTTGCCGAGGCTGCACGTACATCGTGGTGGTACTTCGTTT